ATTATTCCATGTTGTTATTTGAGGTTTTGATTTTTTAGGGGTAAGAGGCTATCTTTGTAAACACAAAACATTTTGCTTTCTCCAGTTTTCTGTTAATGGTGAAATAATGGAAGCAAATCAGTTTTACTGATCTTTTTGATACACTGAAAAGAAAGTGTATAAGGTATAATTGAGGGAACTAAAGAAAGGGTTAGCACTGGGAAAGATCACCTTAATATTTACACAGTACCCTATATGCAAAAAGCATTCTACAGCTGTAGTGCAAATATAATTTAATAGCTACTCCTATACATCCAAATTCTGGAATTAGACAGTATTTTCAAAATGCTACTCTTCTTTCACAGAATATTTTATTTTTTATTTTATTTTTTTAAAGGCTTATTTATTTGTTCATACAGAACTGGGGTACAGGCCAGAGGTGCAGGGACAGTGAAAGGCTTCACCAAAGACAGAGTAGGGAGCAGAACAGGCAGATCGATGAAGTACACTGCTAAGGGGAGCAGCGGACGGGTGAGGAGAGGTCTGCCACGCCATGTGGTCACCTCCCGGGCAGGCGGGGATCGAACTCATGCTGAAGTGGCTTTAGTTTCTTAGTGCAGTGCTTTAACCCGCTGCACCAACAGAGAGGGCCACACAAAATATTTTATAAGATCAAACTATATCAAAATTTCAGAGCAATGCAGCAAATACTATGTGTTTTGTCCATGTTCTTTATTTAAAACTATATTCACCTTTTAATCATTCAATTTTTTTTTAAATCCCAGTGATTCATAAATTGTATCCTATTTTTAGAATGACTCCAAGAATTTGTGATTCTCAAACTCCTTTCTTAGTTCCCAAAAAAATACTTAAATTTGATCTTACCATCTCAGGGAAGAAGTGGTCAAGGCTTGGAGAGAATAAAATGGCTTCATAAAAATAACTGACCCCCTACATTAGATACAAATAAATGATGGAGTAATGGAATCACAAGTTAAAAAAACCACCATGAAAAATTCAGCTTCAATATCTTTTCTTCCTTTCTTGAAAAAAGATGCCTGTCATGCATGGTAACAACTTTAGGTCTGAGTAATAAGAGGCTGAAGGACTCACGAAGAAAGACTGACAGAAATCAGAATCAAGGTAAAAATACTCTTGACAGTTAAGAACTAGAAACACAATGGGAAATGAAAGAAACTGTCTAAGGAATTGGACATAGTCAATGTGAGTGAGCTGAAGAGGTGTTACCATGGAAAAGGAGGCAGCGTTTTTAAGGGAAAAGACTGCGCTGAGGGGTTTCAGTTGTTTTTCTTGCATGTGACCTTCAGTAAATCATAGAATTATCTTCCCAGTTTCTTCACATTTTCACTTATTCTATATATTATTTACTATTTTCTTTTGTGTGCAGCAATAACAGTAAGGTGGTGAACTTTTGCTATATGCCCGGCACTGTGCTAAGTAATTTTATATGCATTATCTTATTTACTCCTCCAGCCAGTATGATAGATGTGGGTACACTTACTTTCCCCATATTGTAATTAGGAAAAGAGGCTTAGAAGAAGTTAAGCAACTTGCCAAAGGTTACTTGGCTCACAAGGTATAGTAAGGATTGGAATTCAAATCTAATTCCAAAGCCCACACTCATAAATGCTTTCTTATATTGCTTCTCATTTGATATAAAGGGCATACTTTACAAAGTATTTTTAAGTAAACACGCAAATGTAAAATGCTATTATAATTGTTATTTGCAAAAACTGAAATAAGTCATCAATGAAACAATCAAGTAACATGCAGTTAAAATATTTAAAGCATATACAAGTGGGCAGTCTTGATACTAGCAATTTTTTTGTTGATGGTATAATCAATGATGAGAAGTGAAAAGTTCAGAACAAAGTTTGGTTGTCTGGGTCAAATGTGCAAATTCACAAGCTTAAAGAACGATTTTAAATGACATCTAGCAGCTAAGACAAATTTAAAAATATAAGCAATCATCTAGAGCTTTTTCTGTTACTCCCCACAATTAGTTAGATGTGACTGTGACACAGTTCTCGCCAAAGAAAAATGGCTCAGCCCATAGAAACATCCCACATAGGCCCCTCTTTGCCTTTCCTCTTCCAATTCCAGACAAAAAAGCAGAGATCTTTACTAAATATGTATTTAATGCTTTTTCAGAGCTGGTTCTTTTTCATAATTATCTTATTCCAGCATTTATCCATAGAGGAGTTACAAACCCAAGTCATCAGATCCTGTCTCCCGTGAATTCTGAATTCTAGGCAAAGCTGAGATGAGAAAATAAAAGATAGATATCTTCTAAAGACAGCAAAAACCGAGTCAGCATAACTACTGTCTTCTTGCTGCAGGGTCTAGAGAGCATCAGTGATGCAGAACTATCAGTCCACATTTGCAAAGTCTATTGCACATTCCTGCCTTAGGAGGGAGGGCACCCAGAACATTTGGTTGTTTACATGACTTTCATGAACAATGTTAAGATGACATTATTAAAAAGACTTATTGT